GCTGTCATGCCGATGATGCCGTGGATGGGCGTGCTGGGGTTGGGGGGGACAAGCGCGAGAGGGGCAGGTGGGGAACATGGGGAGTGTTGTGATCTCATATTTGATACAACATACATAGGCTAGAATTATATGTGTAGCACTTGTATAGATTGGGGGTTGTTTAATGTACCCTCCAACCACATTTTGTGGTTGGTGGGGATTGGTCCTTAGCTTGACCAATCCCAACCAACACACATTTGTTTGGGCCACAGGCAAGCTCAACCATTGGCCAACTCATTGGCCAATAGGGGTGATGGGGGTGATGGGGGGGTGATGGGGGTGATGGGGGTGATGGGGGTGATGGGGGTGATGAGAGTGATGGGGGTGATGGGGGTGATGGTTGGTGAGGGGGGGTGATGGGGGTGATGGGAGTGATGGGGGGTGATGGGGGTGAGGGGGGGTGAGGGGGGGTGATGGGGGTGATGGGGGTGATGGGGGGTGATGGGGGTGATGGGGGTGATGGGGGTGATGGGGATGATGGGGGTGATGGGGGTGATGGGGGTGATGGGGGTGATGGGGGGGTGATGGGGGTGATGGGGGTGATGGGGGTGATGGGGGTGATGGGGGTGATGGGGATGATGGGGGTGATGGGGGTGATGGGGGTGATGGGGGTGATGGGGGTGATGGGGGTGATGGGGGTGATGGGGGTGATGGGGGTGATGGGGGTGATGGGGGTGATGGGGGTGATGGGGGTGATGGGGGTGCAGGGACTGGAGGTGGCGGGACTGGAGGGTGTAGAACGCAAGGGTTGTCATGGAAGTGCTGGTGGAGTGAAAAGGGACGTGCCATGTGGGGGGCTACACATACGGTGAGCTGGAAACTCCCATAGATGGGTACGTGCGGCTGGGCACTGTGCAGGCTCGTACCGGATCTCGTGGCTCATGTTGGCGAGGAATTCTGTCTTGGCCCGCCCTGCCTCCTCCAACTCCTCCTTTGACCTCTTCAGATCCTGCACACACGCTCGCACGCAGGGAGAGAGGGGGGAGCGGGGAGACGAAGGAGGGATGGTGTGAAGCAGAAGCAGCGTGGCTAACAAGCAAGCCAGGTGGATGCTCATTGCTCGTGCCCCTTGGCTCCAGCTGCCAACACATTCCCTCTCCCCTTTTCTTTTCACTGCCTGCATCTGCATGGTGCGTCTAGCCACCTCGCCCTCCAGCAACAGATTAAGCTGCCTCAGCCCCTCACGCTCAGCTTCACAGTTGCCTCCACCTCAAATCCTCCCCTCCCCCCTCCATCCCGTCCTCCCTCACCCCATTCTCACCTCATTCACTGCCTGCATCTGCTCGGTCCGTCTCGCCACCTCGCCCTCCAGCGACAGGTTCAGCTGCCTCAGCCCCTCTCGCAGCCGTCTCGGGTCCCTCACAGCAGCCGCCAGCAGCACAGCGCCCAAGCTCAGCACCACCACCAGCACCTGCACCACTGTCCCTCTCGCCCTCTCCCTCACTCACCTCATTGACTGCCTGCATCTGCTCGGTTCGTCTCGCCACCTCCCCTTCTAGAGAAAGGTTGAGCTGCCTCAGCCCCTCTCGCAGGCGCCTGGTGTCTCTCACAGCGGCCGCCAGCAGCACAGCGCCCAAGCTCAGCACCAGCACCAGCACCTGCACCTGCAGCACCGTCCCACTCGCCGTGTCCCTCACCAACGGCCCGCGCCCCTGCGCCGTGCAGAAGCACACAATGAGGACGACTATAACGAGTACGAGCCCCGAGCCCTTGCGGTGGAAGCGAATGCACGCCCAGAGGACCCCCGGGAAGAGAAGGTAGGGGAGGGCGGCAGTGGCAGTAGTGGCGGCAGGGACAGCAGTGGTGGTGGTGGAGAAAGTAGTGGGGGCTGCAGGGGTGGAGAAGATGAGACCAGCCGTGGCAGCGTTGAGCAGAAGCAGAAAGATGAACTCCCAGAAGCGCAGGGAGGCAAGGGTTTTGCAGATGCTGACCACCAGGGGGTTTTTCAGGAGTTTTTGCAGGTGGTAATGGATGGGGCGGTGGAGGGATAAATAGTTGGGGTTGGAGTGGGGGGGGTGGGAGGGGATGTGGGAAGGGAAAGGCAGAGTGCGGAAGGAGGGGGGGGTGTGGAGCCTTGCGCTGCTGCCTACCGTATCTCCCACCGACTCCAAGTCTGCCTCGCTCCCCACACCCTCTCTCCCCCCACCTACACCTGTCATCAGGCTTACGCGCCGTCGCCCGTGCTGCTCGCCCAGGGGCGGCTGGAGACGTGTGGAAGAAGCAAAGACGGAATTTGCTTCGGACCGAGGCGATTCAACAGCGCCCAGTTCCTCCTCCTCTTCCTGCCCCTCCTCCCGCTCCTGTCCCTGCTTCCCCTCCTGCCCCTCTTTCCCCTCCTTTCCCTCCTGGCTGGGCTGCCGGGCGCAGCAGCACAGGCAGGAGGCGGTGATCTGCAGGAGCAGCGGCACTGTCAGCATGATCCCCGTGAACGTCCCTAGCGTTCTTAGCCCTGCCGCCACTGCCACGCTGTCACCCGCCAGGTCAGCATCCCATGCGCTGACTACGACCGCGACGACCCCTTCGAAGAGCAGAGAGACCAGGAAGGAGAAGAGTGCGAAGAGGAAGATGTCTTTGACTCGGTCTAGAGGGGTGAGGTCGTGCGGGCGTAGGCGGTGCAGCACGCGTGTGAGGAAGAAGGAGAGGCAGAGCACGGAGGCTGTGAGGAAGGCAGCGATTGTGAGGGATGCGAGGGCGATCTGCAGGGTGGAGAGGTGTTCAGCGAGGTGCCATGCGGCCCCGGTGTACACGAGGAGTGCACCGCCCAGGAATATGCCCGGCCATGTGCCCATGCCGAACACCTAATAGCGAGGGGTGAGGGGGAGGAAGAGGAAGGATTGGCTCGTGGGGGAAAAGGAAACGGGATTTGAAACACCAGGAGCATGCTTGGGATAGGGTTTCAAGACGTAGGGCTGCCGGGTGGGATGGGGCTGCAAAAAGAATTAGGCGAGAAGATGCAAACATAGGGTTGAAGGAATAGGGCAAGGCTCACGAGCACGGCGTAGAGCGCAAGGCCAGAGGTGGGCCAGACGGGGCAGGGCACGAGCAGCGCGTCCCCGATCTTGCCCAGCCACGCCATGCCCAGCGACGCGCCGTACAGCACCAGCGCCACCACCAGCAGCAGCAGCGCGCGCCAGTACCACCACAGCCGCCGCGCGTCCACGCAGAAGGGCCACAGCGGCCGATCGCCCCCGTGCACGAAACACGCTATGATGGCCGCGGAGGAGCATGTGGAGGGTGGGTCTGAGGTGCACGAGGGGTCTGTGGTGTCGGAGTCGGAATGGCTTAGCTCGACGTCGTCCTCCCCTGAACTGCTCCCTTCGTCATCACTTGACGAACGCTCTTCGTGATCGCCTCGTTCTCTACTCGCCCCGAGAGTCTCCACATCGGCCTCCTGTCTCCTCTCGCGACCCGTCTCTCTGTTTCCCTCGGTAACCTCCTCCCTCCCCCGTGGATCATCTGAGCCTGCCCTCGCTGCTGCTGAAAGCGCGTCAATCCCAAGGCTGCCTGTATCGCCGACGCCTGCTACCGCGCCGGACCGATCCCCCGCGGGTATTTCCGCGCTTGCGCCCTGCGCCTCGCGCGGTTCCCCCTGCTCCAGGTCCCAGTCTTCCGCGCGGAACGAGGCTAGCACGGGGAGGCCAGACAGTTCGCCTTGGCTTACCCGCGCAAGGTCCGCCTGCGGAGATTGGTCGATACTGATAACGGCCGCTTCGGTGATGCCACGTGGCAAGAGCCGTTCGTCCGGATAAGGAGCCTTGATTGGTGGGTGCAGCAGAAGCTGCGGCGACTCCATGCTGTTGGCTTCTGTCACGGCACCAAACAGCGGTTGCTGCTACTAGCACGAGTACTAGCAGCTCTCAGCAGGCGTGCTGATGCTGATACAAAGACATAATAGAACAACCGTGCAGTCGTAGTCCATGGCGGCTCGTCAAAAAAAGGCCTGCTTTCTCAAACAGATGGGTTACTTTCTAACAACCTGCACTTCAATCGAAAACGCCGAAATGGTGACGTGAAGAACAAAACTATCCCTACGTCGTACCTCTTATGTCAATAAGACTGTCAGCTAACTCCCTCGGACCTCACGGCTCGAAGTGTAAGAATCGAGCCACGCCAGAAAACGCCCAACGACTTGTTTCAAGGATTGATCAGTGAAAGGAACCTTGCGTTGAGACTTTCCGCGATCGTTTTCGGCATGTCTGACTACCAGAATCACTACAGACACACCCAACAAGAACAGTAGTATCGTACGGAGTGGTGGTGTTTTGTCGAGCAACAGGGGAAAGTGACCGCCCAGATGGTGCTGGTCTTGGGGGTTGGGGTTGGGTTGGGTGGGGAGGCGGGCACAGGGAACTGTTTTGGCCACAGTATGATGGTCACTGGTTGCTAATCACGGTGTAAGGAGCCCTCAACTCAATAGTGGAGTCAATACTGGTGTACTAAACAAAGTTTAAGGAGAAAAGCCAGTCACTACCTGTAAGAACAGTATATAGTCCATTAGACTAATTACGTTATTTTCTGCAAACATGGTCACACAGGAGCTGCTAGAAGCCAAGCTTGTATTCCATTATCTCATGCAAGTCCAGACGGGGAATTTCCACCTTATCCCCATATCCTGCAAGATCAGAAAGAAACTTTATTAGGAACGTAAACAGAGGTAAAAGTTCACGAAAATGTGATGGCTTACAATGGCTAGATTGTAGCAGTTTGAGGGAATGCACTAGGGGCCACTTACCAACCACATCTTCCACTGCGAGCTCATCAAGAGTACCCATCATTGAATGCAGGCCCAGGTGGGATGATGGCAGACCGGGCAACCTCTTGAATCTGAAAACGCATAAGCGGAAAACACATGAATCAGTGCAGATTTCGCCATCACCATGCCGCCAGCGAAGAGACACAAGCAGCAGCAGCCTCAATGATTCATGTCCAGGACGGAATATTTGGACATTGATCAGCCTTACTTGGAAAGTATTTGCCGCTCCATGTGCAGCTGAGCAGGGAAAGCGGAACCGTAGACCCTACCCAAGTTCATGTCAACAGTTCCCTCCTGCTCCTTCCTTCTCTGAAAACAGAAACTCAGAGACAATAAGACCGAAAAACGTCAGGGGGCTATCAATACCTATTCATTCGTTGCGCAAGGATCATTTCTCGGCCTATAGGTGTTATGGCCAGAGATTCGCGAAAAAGGTAGTCGAACTAGCAAGCCATAAGGTGACGACTGCTACAAAACAATATCTCTTGTACACAGATGATTCGTATACGTGAAATCTGGTGCGCAAGCGTTTAGGAGTAGCCATATGTGGGTAAACGAACACAGGGGAGGCGGACAGCGTGAGCGAAGGTCATACCTGGATACCGGTTCGCAGACGTATAAGGATCGGGGAAAAAAGCCATCACCCACCTGTCTCTGAATTCCGTCTACTGGATGAGCAAAAGTCACTTCGTCGCGAAGCTGATGGAGACCAGATCGCAGAACATCGCGAGGAGCCTCAAGATGCGGAAGGGACATGCTTGGATCCTGATCGAAATAAGTGACAAAGTATCACAAAAACCGCACGTCAGTTGGCACGTAAGCTATCGACCTAATGGAGCGAGCGCGAAACGGGGACTAGCTACTGCACAAAAAGCTCCTACCATTGCTTTTTGTGGTTCCTGGAAACCTTTCTGAAGCCAACAATTTCACAGCAACAATCGAGCCTTGAAGCAGCAGAAAGTCGATTATCGTCCCCGCTAACAGGTACCTTTCTGATTGAACACATACATACCCTATGTTTCTGTAGTGCATACAGACTGGCATAGGGCATCTTCTTTTTGAATGATTGCCTTCACTTACTAACATGTGAAACAAACACACCTTCAAATGGCATCTTCTTTCTTCTTTTTGAATGATTGTCAACTGAATCAGCTTCTGGTTTGCTTGATTGTGCATTTTCTGATCTAGTGTTTGTTTGGAACCAGGATTTTATCTTATTTCATACAAATTCGACACTAACTCTACAATACATTATATAGAAATACATATATATTAAGCCTAATAATATTACAAAAATATATAAGTTATAGATATAAACTACACCATTTTAGCTTTTGCACCAATCCGAGCAACAAATAACTAAACAAAATTGATTCATTGCCTTCAAGTTGCTCAAAGCACAAGCGGGTGGAAACACGGATTGCAGTCGACATTCAGTGGGACGCAGGGGCTTCATTTCGCTTTGAGTGCAATTCCATGTATGCCCCCTTTCGCTCCATCAGCTGCTCGTGTGTGCCGACCTGAGAGCATGAACCAGCGAAGATGAATATGCCAATGAGCTAAGTGGGTCGGCTGGACTAATGCACCGGACTTCCCAGTCGGCCGGACAAATCCACTGGACAAATGAAGAAGTGCTCCACTCACCTCGATGATCTTCCCATGAGACACAACCACTATTCTATCGGCAGAACGGATGGTGGATAGCCTGGTCATGGGCAACAGGGAGCATGATGTCAGGGATGAAAGTGGGGGGAGAGAGAGAAAGAGCAGCGAACTTTACGGAACAAGTGGGTAGCATGGGTTGAGGAGCGTGGCTCCATGACAAGCATGCACTGGCTGAGAAGATATCGATGGAGAGGAGAGGAAAGTTTGCCTGGCTGGCCACAACATACCGGTGTGCAATGACCACTCTGGTTTGCCTTCTGCCCCCACTTGCATGGGAGTCGTCATGAATGACTTGGTTCAATGCCATCTGCTCATGCACACACAAAAAAAGCAGATGCATATTTACAGACCAAGGGGCCAGCAGCAATGGTTCATGGAAGCAGCAGCCCGGAGGAATGAAGGGACGGCAAGGGTTGACGGGACAACAGACCCTTCATTCTCCGAGAATCATTCTCAAATCCAGTGCTCATGCACTCTCCCATCACCCCCTCACCTACACATACTTCCCGTTCTCCCACCTATCCTCCCTCCACTCCCTCACTCCCCATCCCCCGCACCTGCACGTAGTGCTCGCTCTCAGCATCCAAAGCACTTGTGGCCTCATCCAGGAACAGCAGCTTGCTCACTCTTTTTACCCCATAGCACACTTTCCACTCACCCCCACCCCCTCTCCCCACCTCACCTGCACGTAGTGCTCGCTCTCAGCATCCAGAGCACTCGTGGCTTCATCCAGGAACAGCAGAGTGGGGTCGCGCACTAGAGCCCGGGCAATCGCTATTCTTTGCTTCTGCCCGCCGCTCAGCCGCGCGTTGTCCACCACCGTGTCATAACCCTCGGGCAGCTCGGAAATGAATTGATGCGCGTTGGCCTGGGTCGCTGCCTGGACAATGTCCTGCCGGGAGAGTTCCTTGCTGCTTCCGTATGCAATGTTGGATGCCACGTCTCTGCTGAATAGAAGGGGCTCCTGAGGAAGAGCATGCGGAATGGGGAGGGAGGAGGGCACGAGTGTTGATACTACTCAAGTGTGCATGGTCCAGATGCACATGTGTGGCTGGAGGCTAATCCATCATAAGCCTAAATCATTTGCCATACATACATGAATTGTGTGGTGAGAGTGGTGAGTGTGTGGTGAGAGAAGTGAGTGTGTGGGTTTAGATGGATCAGGATGGGTCTGGATGGACAGGGATGATTTTGGATGGGTGGGGATGGGGCAGGCAGGGAGGCGAGCTCACCTGGCTGACGACCCCAATGTGGCTTCTCAGCCATGCGATGTCAACCTCTGGTAGAGGCACGTCGTCAATAAGCACCTGTGAACAGACAGATGGAGGAGTTACAGACAGTATGAATCATGCACAACAGTATCTACCATCAATATACCTCCAACTACAGCCACCCGCATGTCACTCACCTCCCTTCATCTCACCTGCCCCTCTGTGGGCTCGTAGAGTCGCTGCAGCAGCCTGAGGAGGGTGCTCTTGCCGCTGCCGTTGTGCCCCACCAGTGCCACCAGCTCGCCTGGCTGGATGGTCAGGCTTATGCCCTCCAACACAAGAGCCTGCAGGGGGCGTGGGGGAGGGAGGGAGGGAGGGAGGGAGGGAGGGAGGGAGGAAGATAGTTGGCGGGCACACCTCAGGGCAGACTCGATGTTCGAAGCCGGATAGAGAGCAGTTGGTACAAACACGTAGAGCGACTGGTATTCTCATGTAGAGCAGTTACCTCACAATGGTGCTTTCAGCAAGGCGGGTGGGCGCACCTCAGGGCGGGTGGGGTAGCGGAAGGAGAGATCGCGGAACTCCAGCTTGCCGCTCAGCGACGGCAGCACTCGGCCTGGAGAGAGACAGGGAGGCAGCAGAGGAGGGATGAGAGCAGGCCTCTGGTAAACAGGGTGATTCACCCTTATGAACCTTACTATAAGGCTGGGTTTGACGATGCACCCTTTTTTATCAGAGTGGTCAACATTTTTACCCTTACAAGAAAAAGTGTTTGGTTATACCACACTGATATTTCAGAGTTATGTGGTGTAGTGACACTGATGATATTGAGTTAGATCTAACTGAGAATGGTAAGATTACTCGCGGAAAATGCTACCTCGTTCAGATTAGCCTACTTCAAGTAACGAACTTGAGTCATACACGGAAATTCCTCTACGCAACTCACTACAACACCATCAACTCGACCATTTCGGAATGTTCAGCTACTTGTAGAAAAACCATATTATGTTTGCACCCTTACTAGAAAGAGTAGTTTTTGTGAGCACCGTTTCAGAAAAAGTGCAAGCGGGGTGTTGGCCTTACGTGAAAGAGTAGCTCAAAACCTAACCAGAGGCCTGGATGAGAGCATGGGAGGACGGCAGCATGCGGCACGAGTGATTCACACACGAGTGAGAGCCACAATCGCCTTCAGCCAGCACTCATTAGGCCCTGAGTGAGCAGTCCCACTCATCATCACCTTGACTCCCATGCACGCACGCACACTCATCGTGCCCTTGAGTGACATGCTTCGGATTTGGCAGGTCGAGCAGTTGGAAGACCTGGTGGCAGGCGCCGATTGAGTCCATGAGAGTGGCCCAGTGGTCGCCCGCGCAAGCCATGCTGCGCACTCCTATCCCTGTGCACTCGCACTCACCACGACCCTGAGTAGCCAGCTGCTCCGGGTGCGGCAGGTCGAGCAGTTGAAACACGCGGTGGCAGGCGCCGATGGAGTCCATGAGGGTGGCCCAGTGCCCGCCTGCACACCACATGTTGTATGCCATCCAGTCTGTGCATGCACACTCACCATGGCCTTGATTGAGCTGCTCTGGGTGTGGAAGATCCAGCAGCTGAAACACGCGGTGGCAGGCGCCGATGGAGTCCATGAGGGTGGCCCAGTGGCCGCCCGCACACCACATGTTGTATGCCATCCAGTCCGCGTACATCACAAACTGCGTCACCTGCTCCGCTGATATGCGCCCTGTCGTTAGCGCTCCCCCGGCCATGATCACCACTGCCACCTGCAGGGTGGGGAGCAGTGGGGGAGTGTGTTGGGACGTGTCAAAACGAGAGTGGCCCAGTCACAGAGCTCGTCAGCGCACCACATGTTGTAGGCCATCCAGTCCGCATACATCACAGACTGCATCACCTGCTCCGCTGATATGCGCCCTGCGATCAGTGCCCCGCCCGCCATTACAACTACTGCCACCTGCAGGGTGAGAAGTGGGATGGAAGTTCTTGAGCCGACTCAAAAGTCATTACCAGCCATTGCGCAACTAGTGCCACATGCACTGGCACGTAGAATGCATCATCATGGGCCAAGCAACACCGCGGCCCATGCACCACCATGGGCCATGCACCACCATGGGCCATGCACCACCATGGGCCATGCACCACCATGGGCCATGCACCACCATCAGCATGCACCTGCCTCAGCATGTACTACCATGGAGGTGTTATAGACAATGTTGTCAGCGCATGTCCACAACCCATTCGCCACACTCCGCCGCAGCCCCACCTCCACCAGCCTCCGGAGAGGCTCGTCGTACCTGGCAAGGGAAGGCAAGGCAGGGAAATGCAAGGCAAGCACAAACGCATTGTGCATGGAGTTTGGAAAGGATGTTATAGTTCGTGCACTCCAAGCAGCCAGTGAATAAGAAGAAATGCAACGCATTGGAATGGAAATACAGGAGATGAAGGACCTACGGTTTAGCAAACAGGACAGCCCCCCTTCCCGCCTGACAGCCCCACTTGCCGCCTGACAGCCCCACTTGCCGCCTGACAGCCCCACTTTCCGCCTGACAGCCCCCCTCCTCTCCTCCTCACCTCTTCACCTCCTCGCTCTCTGTGCCAAACGTCCGCACCACTCGAACGAGAGACACCGTCTCCTCTGCAACCTGGAAAGTGGGGTCATTGGTGGTGTGGATGGGTGTGGACGGGTGTAACTACCATGAGAATTAAGGAAGAAAGTATCATGGGCGATATGAGGTAGGGGCTCACAGATCGGATACAAGCTTGCATCACCCGAATAAAGCGTCACCCTGATACTGAGTCGTGCAGAAATTGGGTCAGTAGGAGGAGGTGGGCGCACCTCATTGGCTGCTGCCTCATTGTCTTGTAAACACCATGGAGCTCAGTCGGGAGAAACTGCATGGTGAGACAGGCGGAGAGCAGGGCAGACGAGGAAGCAGGGAAGGCAGAGAGCAGGGAGACGAGAAGCAGGGAAGGCAGAGAGCAGGGCAGACGAGAAGCAGGAAGGCAGAGAGCAGGGCAGACGAGAAGCAGGAAGGCAGAGAGCAGGGCGACGAGAAGCAGGGAAGGCAGAGAGCAGGGCAGACGAGAAGCGGGGAAGGCAGAGAGCAGGGCAGATGGAGAGCAGGGAAGCACGGAAGGAAGGCAAGGACTATTGGACCACCAAGGACACTTCGGCTGGATATCCGGAGAGAAGGAAAACAGCGAGTTGGTTGGGAGGCATGGAGGAGGGGTGGAGGAGGGTGGAGGAAGGGTGGAGAGGAGTGGAGGAGGGGTGGAGGAGGATGGAGGAGGGGTGAGGAGGAGTGGAGGAAGGGGTGGAAGGAGGAGTGGAGGGAGGGGTGAGGAGGAGTGGAGGAGGGGTTGAGAGGAAGTGGAGGAGGGGTGAGGAGGAGTGGAGGAGGGGTGTGGAGGGAGGAGGGGGGAGAGAGTGTGAGGAGGAGTGGAGGAGGGTGGAGGAGATGAGTTGGAGAGGAGTGGAGGAGGGGTGGAGGAGGAGTGGAGGAGGGGTGGAGGAGGAGTGGAGGAGGGGTGGAGGAGGGGTGGAGGAGGAGACCACGAGCGAAAGAGAGGGGGTAACAACACATGAGGTAAGGCCACAGAGGGCAGCATGGAGGAGTGCGGAAGCTAAAGAGATTCAAAGAGTGGAGAGCAGAACAGGAAATGTTGGCAGCGGAGTGCAGCATGAGCCTGTCCGTCACACGTATGTGCCATTACACCACGAGAAGGTACCACATGACGCCACAGAGGGCAGCTGTAGAGAGCACAGTAAGAGCTATTGGGGACGGGAACCGCATGTGACTGTCAGTCACACGCACTTTCCGTAGACCACGAGCAGATACCACATGATGCCACAGAGGGCAGCTGTAGAGAGCCAAGTATGAGCTATTGAGCACGAGAACTGCATATGCCTGTCTGTCTCACATACTCGCCATAGACGATGAGAAAGTACCACATGATGCCACAGAGGCCAGCTGTCATAAAGGGCCAATCTGCCAGCTCAAGCGAAGCAGGAACACAAAACGGTCCTATGGCCTGCACACACACGTGTTGTGGCAGATAAGGTTGGGGAATGGTGGATGGGGGATGTGAATGGGGAATGGGCAAACATGACAACAGTGGAAGGGGTATAAGGGCACATAAGGGACAGGACAGAGACGTCCTTAAAGCCAATGCTTGGCCATGCTGGGGTGGGGTTTGGGAAAAGGCATGGTAAGGAATGAGGGCATGCGGTGGCATGAGAAATGCAACAGGCATAAAAACGGTGGGTTTGTGAGGGGGTTCCCAGCATACCCACCACGTTCCTCCCATTCACCACCCCCCTCCTTCATTCAACCACCCCCTCCCTCATTCACCACCCCATCCCTCCCCTTCCCAACACCCACCAGCAGCGAGTGCCGTAGCCACGATGTTGAGATCGCTGCCCATCGTGTATCCCGCAGCCTGGGCAGTCGGAGCCGAGGCGGGATGTGAGGTCGCCCACCGACTGGCCGTCAAAGAAGGCAACGTCCTGCCGGGATGAGCGTCTCGTATAGCGCCAGCCGCATTCGCCGCATCTAAATGAGACACCGTGGAAGCAAGGGAACGCGGGAGAGGGAGAGTATGAAGGTGGGAGAAGCAGATTGGGTTTGACGGTGCCAAAGGGAAGCATGTGAGAGCGTAAGAGCAAGAGCGCAGAGCGAGAGCGTGTAGTCATGGAAGAGAGTAAGAGCTAGAGTGTGTTGAAAACAGCAGGTGCAGTGCCGGTGCGCGTGAGCTCACCAATTGGACATTGAAAATGGTGAAAGAGCAGCCCTCAGCCCACTGCACGGATCACGGCAGCACGAGCACAGGAAAGAGCAGGTACCATCAGAACATGGTTAGAACACGCACGCACTCACGCAGCCACCGGAACACGGCAGACAATCACCTGAAGAGGCCGCAGGCGAGAGTCATGGCGATGAGGAGGCGCACGTTGTGTTGAAACTGATCTGTGAGCCCGTGAGACGCGTTGAATATGCCACCGCTAGGTAGTGCGGTATGGCCACCTCTGATAGCTGGTGGCGCACGGATGAGAGCGGGAGGGGGATAGGTGGGGAGAAAGGAGAGAAGGGGGTCAACATTGACGGCTGGGAGGGAGGGGAAGGGAGGAAGAGGAGGGGAAGGAAGGGGAGAAGGAGCTCCCAATGGAGGTGGAGGGAGAGGAAGGGAGGAGGACTGACGGCGGCGAGGGCGAGGGCAGAGTGAGGCGAGGACGAGCATGGTCCTGTTGGGGCGCACAGAACCGCCAGAGCTTGCGAATGGCGTCCCACAGCTCGCCTCGCCGTGGATTCCCGTCCCCCGCGGCTCCCATTCCCGCCTCCCACCCACTCCCACTGCTATCCCTACCGCTGCTGCTATCGTTGCTGCTTTTACCGCTGGCCCATTTCCCGCGTGCTGCCTTCCGTTCCAGCCAGCTGCTGCAGGTCCCAACCAGCTACCGCCTGGCAGCACGGCGCGCAGCATAGTAATGGCCCGCCGCAATGGCGCTGGGACCCTGCGCGTTCCGCGCCTAAACGTCTCCGAAAAGCCCGCAGTTTTATCCGGCGGTACGGCATTTCGTTGAAACCACGTTCTCCTCTGGCTCAGTGTCGTCTACGAGACGCTCGGAACCATCATTTTGCGGTTTCCGTTTCCGCATCGTCGTAGAGTTTGTTCTCGTCCTCTATGCCTGTATCGGGGGGCATTTGTACCTGATTCGTATGATTAGTAGGACATTCAGCGCCTTCAGGATATAATTACGATACAATTTCACTAGCTAAGAACCTTCGGCTTGCGGCTTCCTTGGTCAAGGAACATTCCGGTGGTCATGACCTGAATTTGTTCCAGGGATTTGGTGGCACATTCCAGTCGTGCGAAGTTTTAAGCGGTATATTTTTGTAACGAATGGTTTCTCTAAGTAACAGTACGTTGCAGAGCGGTGACGGTCCGGACTTTCACGGCTTTTACATAGCAGAGGTTGGAGTGTGAAATTGCCCCCCTTTTGTCAACCATCTGGCTCTCATGTCTCTCCGCTTCGCGCAGCGCTGTGCGCAGCGCTCCGCGCGCCCCCTGTTCTGCGAAAACCTGCCAAACCCCGCGTGTTCGCCGCGGAACCAGCCCAAGTCAAATCTCACGAACCAATGATAAAGGTGGTGGTGCCCAACTCTCGTCACCCATGATCCACTCTGGCCGTGCAGCACGGCGCGCAGCATAGTAATGGCCCGCCAACTTTCGAAACCATTCCAGTTGGCGAAATGAGGACCCAGATCAGTCAACACTTCGCTGAGGTCGCCAAATTACACGGAACCCAAGGTCACCAAACCCACACACCATGCATCAAACCCCAAGGGACCCACCCCAACCCATCATCCTCACACTGCTGCTCCCTCTGCCGTTGAACACTCGAAGTTGAAACCCCTAGGGACGCGGCACCTGTTTGGCATTTGCCAGGATCGATCGCGGGAGGGGATCGATGTGCTGCTTGTACAGTGAATTGGGCGACGTCGTCAATGCCTGGTATCCGTATATCGCATGACGTCGAAAATGTACAGTAAAATGGTACCCAAAATGGTGGCACCTGCAGCTCGCACGATCGATGTGCTGTGGTGCACACATCGACCGTGCGTTTGGGTTGGCGGAAGAGCACGTCGCGCCAGAGGTGACAGTCGCGATCGATCGGCGTCGTTCCACGGTCACAGGCCAAAACTCTCGAGTTCGTTGCGAATGAAATTGCTGGGGCGACTAGCTACGCTCTGCCCTGATTGGCTGCGCCTTGCAGTGTGTTGGTGTATTCCGACGCAGCTCCAACCTGCCCGACCCTGCAATTTCGATCCTGGCACCTATAGCTCGATGTGTCTACCCCACTGCAATTGCAAATTTGCAGTGTGGGCACATCGGTGTGCCGATCGATGTGCCATGATCGATGTGAGACCCCGAACCACCCGATCCTGGCGAAATGAAACAACATGTGCCGCGCCCTTACTGTTTGTAGGCCTCCTTGATTCTCCCGCAGCGGCTATGTAGCCGTTTATGTTAGCGCGAACTTCCGACGCACGCGGCTCGAAACTGAGTCGATTTTGTGGGGAATTCTCCTGTTCCACCGTCGTCAGCTGTCACTTGCGTTGCCTTGCATAACTTGTGCTCTCCAGGCAGTTTTGCTCGAATGCAAGCATTTAAGTCAGCACAGCACACTCCCAGCCGACATTTCAACCTCATTGCTCAAACGATTTCGACGCCGAATACATACACCCTCTTTCTCGCCATTGTGAGTTCGGTTATAGTGAAGTCAAGATGGGAAAAGCACGGTTAACGGTGGTTAGATTAAGTCTAGGTATGGTTCAATCAGACAAATCGAAGGTAACTAGGTTTTCCATCAGTTCAGCACAGTTCAGTGTAGTGAGAAAGAGGGTGTACTTTACGGTCTCCAACCTCCTTGTGCAACTCGACTTCTCGTCCGCGGGTGCAATAGTTCCTTCCACTATCCTTTTGAACTTCACGACTTCCAACTTCGGCCCTTTCAAGATTGAAGCTTCTGCTGATTTTGGCAAGTTGCTCAAGCATCAAGACTTTCATTTTAAAACTACGCCACATAGTTCTCTTCAACCGATTTATTGCTACCGAGCGTACCTTTTTTAAATTATTTGCACGTTGAACTTGTACTAGATTGTCAGAATTATATTTATTATAACTGCATGACGTTCTAGCTGTAGTAGTAGTTATTAAGTTTGTAGGTGGTGCACCTCTCTTACTTGTTTCTTGCTATATGTACTTCGAAACTATAGTGAAGAATACATTCTCCAATTTCTCCCCCTTCCAACGCACTCGATACCTCGCCTAGGAGAAACCCGCTCGACACTCTAGTTGGGCCTAGGCTACTAAGCCTAGGCCCAGCTTAATCTACTCGTTCGTTCATCTTAATCTCTTGACATGTTATCGGACGCGAATTACGTACCTGGCCTGTGGGCCCGCCCTACACTTCCGGTGCTAAGATTTTCCGGTCGCGCGCCTAGGGCGCGTGACGATATTTTTTACCTTGTCCCGCCCACTGGGATGTGTGACTCCTTCTCTGCCCTGTCGCGCGCCCCGTGGCACGCGACGGTGCCCTTCATCTGCCCGTCGTGCGCCCCGTGGCAACGCGATGGTGCCCTACTCGTCGTGTGCCCGTGGCACTCGATCGGGCCCTTTAAACTTAAACTACCCGTCGTGCGCCCCGTGGCCCGCGACGGCCTTTCCGCACCTGCCCTCCCTGCAGCCGCCCCTGACCTATCAGCGCCGACACAGTGTAGCCGCCCTGCGGCTTTCTCCCGCCCACCCCCCTCCTCCTTTGTTTCTCTGGCAGGCCGCGGGGATGAGGGCCCTTATGGGGGTGGCGAGTGTTGGGGCGTTGGGTCCGTCACTTCCCTTCCCCTCCTCCTCCTTTCATTCCACTGCTGCAGCTGCCGCTGGGGGGGAGGGTGTGAGGGTGTGGGGGAGCAGGGGGAGTGGTACCGGGGGTGGCGGGTGTGATGGCAACAAGCAGCCGTCCCTCCACCTCTCCTCTCTCCTTTCCCCCTTCTCTGCTGCTTCTGCAGCAGTGATGGGGGAGGGGAAGGAGGAGGATGAGGAGATGGAGGGGGTGACCAGCTAGTGTCAGCCCGCCCTGCATTACCTGCTGTTGCTTGCTTTTTATTGTTCGTTGTGTACCTCTGCAGGTTGTGCTCTGCACTTAGCTATTCCTGCATGCAGTACGTGGGGATGTCAGAATTATATTTATTATAACTGCATGACGTTCTAGCTGTAGTTAGTAGTTATTAAGTTTGTAGGTGGTGCACCTCTTCACTTGTTTTCCTTGCTATATGTACTCGAAACTATAGTGAAGAATACATTCTCCAATTTCTCCCTTCCAACTCACTCGATACCTCGCCTAGGAGAAACCCGCTCGACACTCTAGTTGGCCTAGGCTACTAAGCCTAGGCCCTAGCTTAATCTACTCGTTCGTTCATCTTAATCTCTTGACACTGATTTGCGTTGTTATCCCTTTTATGCAGAGAAGTGGAATAAAGACATTCAACGCTCTCAAGTGTCATCGAAATGTTTGGCTGTGCACTCATTGCGACGGCGGCTACACATCTACTCAGCATCCGTCACTTGCTGCTCAACGGTCCGAACGCTCCTCAAGTCGGATCGGACTTCGCCAACCTACTTTCTGTGTCAGCCTTCCATGTCCAACTAAGTATTCTCTTCACCCTCATCGTGTCAGCTATTTTAATCATTTATCCGTACTGGTTGTTGGTCTTCCAGCCAAAATTCTGCCTATAGAGCTTCCTGTATCTATCCCCTAATTTGGGTTAGTCTCTTTAGGTCTGTCTAGTGTCAGGCGCCGCCAAGTCATGCATGCGTCAGTCTGTCTGAGCTCTTCGGTGCGGCTGCTTTTGGCTGGAATACCCCCTTCCTCCCACATCGATCTATTTTTTCGTCGCTTATTTCGTTTATCGCATCGTCAATGTGAACTTAATGTTTTGTTCTCGTTTTTCTGGCAGTTTCTCTACTACGACGCTCCATCACTTGGGAGAAGCAA